AGATGTAACAAGGACACTGTGCTCATGAAATCTCAACATATCTTCCTGCACAAGATCTGCCCAATGACCACACCAGTAGACATGGATGTATAAAAGCTTCATATGGCCTCACCTGTAGATGAGGCAATCAAGGGCTGTACACCCTTGCACACTCCCATGAACATGATCACACACACACACCAATACTGACTATGGAAGAAGAGCTTATGAATTTGAGAAAGGGTGGGAAGATATAGGAGTTGGAGACCGAAAGGGAGAGCTTGAAATGATGTAAATGTGGTGTGCCTTGAGAATTACGAAATTCTCAAAAATTATTTTATTTAAGCAAAGGATGGGAAGAGGAATAATAGAGTCTTTAATTCAGGAACTTTTCAATCACTTCAGACAGTCTTTGTACCACTCAATGTAGTTACTATGTAGGAGAATAAGTATGCTGAAGGTTGCTAATTTGAAGAAATATCCTTAAAGAAAGATGATGTAATGAGGTGGAGAGAAGAAAGTGGCTTGAAAAAAAAATTTATGTTGCTACATATTTGGAGCAGTCTATATCAGGACAAGGGAGGGAAGTAAATTAATCTAAGGAAAGAAATATTCGTCTTTCTCCTTCAGTGCAATTTTGGTGGCTGCTGTGTTCTGAATGCATCCCCTTAATTTTTTGCAGTTGAAGTTTAATCACCAATGTGGTTGTAGTACAAGGTGAAGCCTTTAGGGATGAATAAGTGACAAGGTTTGTCCTCATGGATTAGGTTAATGATCAAATGAAAAACAAGCAAACAAACAAAAAAAACACTGGAAGGGAGCTTCTGATTATTTGCCAGCTGAGGACACAGTACTCGTCTTCTCTGGAGGACACAGAAACCAGGCCTTCATCAGCCTACCAACCTGCGCCTGCCCTGAGTTTGAACCCCACAGGCTCCAGAATTGCATGAAGCAATTTTCTCTTGTTTGCAAGTTCCCCAGTCACGGGTTCTGCTATAACAGCATGGAGGAATAAAAGTGAGTGAGGAACTTATTCAGAGGGAGTTGGAGGAGTCAGAAGGCATGGGGTCTCTGAGGCAGGTAGCACAGTACCTGTTAGGTATTGTTTACATTTATGATAGAGTGAGCCTAGTTTTACACTTAAGAAACACTCCTGTGTATTTGGAGTATACTTTCTTAAAACTATAAATGCTAGAAAGTAAAATTTAAAACCACAAATGTTAGTTTCAAATGTCTAGTGGGAAGATATTGCTTAAACTATCTCCCTAAGCAATTACAACATAAATTGCTGCACATTTTTTTTTTTGTTGTTGCTGTTGTTTTGCTCAATGTAGCCCCTTGCTTAATATAACTATGTTTTACAGACAATAGTGCACCACTCCATCTCATCAGCCTGCGTGCTTTCATCAGTGTTTTGTTTCGCCTTTGAATTTGTAGGAAGCTGGCTTTATAAGTGACTGGCATGTAAGCTAAGCCTTATTAATAAAAGCGTCATTCCACCACCACCAGATCAAAAATTTCCAAAAGTGGAATGGAAATGGAAATTGGAAATGGAAGTCAGTCCTCCTGAAGCAGGGAGAGGTGCATATTTCTTCTGCTAGCCACTTTCAGTTTTCTAATGAGGAGGCATTATTTCCTTAGAGTGGTTGTGTATTTTAACACAAGATTGTCAAATCCTGAATTCTAATAGTCAACCTTAACCAAAACAGTCACTAGAATAGCTGCCATTACTCTGAGGCCTTTCAGATATGCTCCCAATATGTTCATCTGCAAACAAACCTGTGAACATTAAATATTTATAAAAATATTTTGTTTATTTATTTGCTAACTAAGAAGAAGTGGACTAATTGTGAAACTCTCAGTTTCCTTTTCTCTAGGCCAGTAGCTATTGCTGGCCGTGAGTGTGCCTATGCAGGAAGTTGCAAAAAAACAAGAGAGAGAAAAAAAAAGAAAGGCGAGTTGGCATTATTTCCCCTCAGACTCAGATACGGTCACAGTGCTTACCTTTTCTCATGGCGAAGAATGTAACTATCCAAAGAAGAAAGATGAAGCCATGCGGGGGTGACAGAGAAATATGGCCAAGGACACTGATAAAGCAGGGTGACGTCACAAAGCTGAACTGCTAAGAATCTAGACTCCTTGGGAACTTATCTGTATTGCTCCTCACTAGCAGGAATCCTACTGTGAAAAAATCACATACTGCCTAACTTGGGTCTCTCCCCGGTGGGCAGGAATGATGTAGTAAATTTCTCTTCTGAGCTTTGTTCAGCTCTCTCCAGTATGTCACTAGGCTTACAGTGACTGTGGCAGTTAAAGCCACAGAGCAAGGGTTTGCTGAACTGCTGAGTGATCTAGAAGCTAAACTTAAGAGAGTGAGGAGTTCTTTTTGCTAAACTTTATTTCCTGCAGGTTAAGAAAATATTACATTACATTATATCAGGGATTGATAAGCCATAGCCTACCGCCTTCCTTGGTTTTGAATGGACTGCAGGTTGTGAATGGTTTTCACATTTTTAATAAACTGAAATTAAAGATTCAAAGTCTGTCTTATTTTTTATTATATAAATAAATTGTCCTCCTGTTTGCTTTGGGGCCTGTAGAGCCTAAAGTATTTATTATCTGATTTTTATTTTGTTTTGTTTTTAAAGCTTGCAGATCCCTAGTTTGGAAGAACTTGGAATTTCTGGTCAGGGAGATTTGGAGTGAGCCACAGAGCTGTCACTTATGGTTTGTGAGACCTTGAGCATGATATCTAATATTCTTAGTTTAGTTTCCTGTCTATGAAGTGGGCCTACAAGTAGTATTTACCTTAAGGTTCAACGTATTTAAATGCTTAATATGTTATTCTTTAAATAGTAAGGTCTCCACACATTGTAATTATTGCCTTTATAGCTTTTCCATAAATTTATTGAGATTAAATAAAATTACAAAGCTAAGTGTGAAAGGAATTTTAAGAGAAATAAAAAAAAACAAAACTGTGATTCATCCTACCATAGTATATGCAGGGATTGTTTTTACTTACTTTAAAAGACATTTTGAATTAAACAATAATAACAAACCTCACTTAGAAAAAAATGATGCATCTTCTGTTATGATAGAAGTAATAAAATCAGATCTAGCTCCCTCAGGAGAACTGAGGCTCTAAGTGTTAGATTTAATAGATTCAAACCTTGCTTTTCAGAAATACACTTGCTAAATTCTGATCAGCTACTAAAGTAAGAAAAAGAAACGACAATCTTCTAGATTTTAACCGATAATTATTTTATTGGAGAGGAATATGCTAAAAGACTAAAGGAATGATTTTACCAAGTTGTAAGCCTTATGTTTGTACATAAGGGTCACAACTCTAAACCGCTAACGTCATCAATTCTCTGTGAAAAACAAAACAAAAAACTGGCACCCCCACATTTGAGCACATGATAGCCTCTAACTAAAAAAAAAAAAAACATAGTTAAGAGATAAAACTCGGGTAAGATAATATTGACTAATTTAATGTGCACAGTTCGACGGTTTTCAGTGAATTCAGTTATTCTACCATAACGATAATCAAGTTTATAACAATCTTATTACTATAATAATACATGGCGCCCATTAGCAATGACTCTTAAAACCCTAGTCCTTAGCAGCCACTAACTGGTTTCTGTTCCTAGACTTTTCTGTTGTGGACATACTGTACAAATGGACTTACGCAATGTGTGGTCCCTGTGAATGGCTCTGTTTTTAGCACGCTTTTGAGATTTGTTCACTTGGTAGCAGAGGCCACCAATACTTAGTACCTGTTTGTCACCAGTTACTTTTCCCTGTCGGGATACAGCACATGTTGCTTGCCTGTCAGTTGATGGGTATTTGGAGTACATTAAACACCCCACATTTATAACTTGTTTTACTGTGAGTAAAGCCTTGTTTTGACGCAGCAATGCTTGCGAGGACTGAACTGTCCTCTTAAGGCCTGGAATTAAATATGGCCAAAACCACGTAAAAAAGATGCTCAGTTTTGTTCATATTCAAGGAAATGCAGTTGATGATCACACTGAGATATTATTTTTGTATTTAATTGGTGAAAGATGAATGTCTGCTAATACTGGCACTAGATCAATATGATCTCTTAGATTGTTGGGAAAATGTATGAATGTCTCAAAATGAAACAAAGCAGCGACACCTGAAAACAATTGACAGGAAATTCAGTAGTGAAGCTGGAAATGCAGCAAACCCCAAGAGATTATACATTGTATGGTGCTCTTTATATGAAATTGAAAAACAAAACAATATTAAATATTATTTATGTGCGTGTGTATACGGAAAAAAAAAAAAAACACGTGAAGGAATGTTCAGCAAATTTCCCAAGCAAATTCTTGATTGCAGTTAGTATTCTAGGTTGGAAAAGAAGAGTTCAATTTAATGTTTTTGGGTTAGGGGTGCTGTCAAAGGAGCCCACTATAAACAAATACAAAGGAGGACGCCCCAGAGATGAATGAGAATGTTATGAACCAACAAATACAACTAATGAACCTTATATCTAAGTAAACAATGAGAAGGGTAAGTAAAACTAATTATTACATTGTAAAAGATCGGATAACTACAGTATGTAATTATAAAAAAGTTTCGCTAGTTATCCTTCCTGTAGAAAGATCATAATTATTCTTTTCTTTGTGAATGAAAAAAAAAATGGACTTAATGAGAATTAAAGAAAAAAAAAAGGGAACTTGAGAAAGTCTGTCCTGTGGGGACTGCTTTGGTGAAGCCGCTTCAAGTCCTGACCTGTCTAGTCTCAGCCCTGGCAACAGACAGTAGTCAGGTGCTGGAGCTCGCAGCTTCGAGGCAAGGGAGCTCCTAGCGTCCTAACAACACAGTGCAGCCAGGCTCTCGCTCAGAGGACACGCCCCTCGTGGGGCGAGACACACCCCCGGGGTGGAGCGCGCTCTAGGGGCGTGTTCAGTGGGCGTGTCCAGCTCCTATAGGGGCGGAGCTGGAAGGCGAGCTGGCTCCTCAGAGGCAGGCTACGAGTCGCGGTGTAGTGACGTCATCAGCGCCGCGCTGACTGAATCCCGTGGCGGAGGGGCTGCTGGTGGCTGTTTCGCTGAGGGTCGCTGTCCTGCCGGCGGCATGTTACCGGCTGTGAAAACTGAGGATGCGGAAGAGGAGTACGCGGAGGATTGTCCTGAATTGGTCCCCATTGAGACCAACCACCAAGAAGAAGAGGAAAATCTTGACTTCATCAATAAGATTCCAGTCACAATTATCACCGGGTATTTAGGTAATTAACGGTCGCTCAGAAAAGGCCGTGAACCGTGCTCTCGGAGGGGGGGCTGCCGTGTCTCCTCAGGCACCCGGGCGTCCCGGCCGAGGTCGAATGTCTTCGAGGTAGGGCCTGGGGTCTCTTTCTCCTCGTGTTTCCAGAGGTGGTTTTGCAACCCAGACTTGATGTTTGTGAAGCTCATCCCATCCTAGTTAAGAACGTAAATAATACAAGTGAAGAACGTCACCACCCCCCCCAAAAAAAAAAAAAAAACAAAGCAAAACGGCCGATTGTTATTAAAGGATGCTCTGATGAAGACAAAAAAAGGAAAAGAAAAAAAAAGATGCTGTTTGTAGAATGCTTCTTCACACGTTTGTTTAGTAGAGTCCATTTCACAGGTGTTCTTTCAGCCATTAATAGCAAGTGTTTACTGTCCTAAGCTGGGCCCCTCCCCTTCTGAGGGCTGCTTGCAAGGCACTGTCAGAGATTGAGTTAGAATAAGATCTTTGTCTTGAAGGGTTTCACAAGCTGGGGTTGTTGAGAGTGCCCAGGGGATACTTGAAAACACAGATTTGTGAACATGGAGCAGTTTTCTGAATGACAGAAAACTTATTTTTCTTTGGAAACGTTTAAATATCCCGTTAAAACATTACAGAGGGCAAGAACAAATGACCAAAATATGGAAAAATAAAAAATCGTGGAAAAAATACGAATAAAGTGGTACTCTCATTCCTGTGTGCCGCAAGAGACCAGCTGAGACTCTACACCTTTTACATGACGAAGAAATCCACACCACCAGTTTTGTTTTTTCCTTCTAGAATCAGACCAAGTATATTCTAGATTTTACTTGATCCATATTTTTATAAAGAAAGAACCTTTTGGGTTCAGAGGCCAATAATCTACAGAAGTTGAGCTTTTTAAGCTATTTTTTTTTTTTTTTGTCTAAAGAGCAGCATACTTCAGACTTGCTCCTTTGCCTTTCTCATTTTGTTTACTGGTAGGTGAAAGGAACAGTGCTGGTGATGGTCTGAAGCTCTGTGTCAGGATTAACCCCAGCATCCTTGTTACCGAACCTAGGAGACAGTTTGCCTCCTTTGCCATTTTTTCTTTTTGAAATACTGAGAACACTGTTCCACTGGGGCTCCTATGCTTTCTTTCTTAGTTTTTCGTCTATTTCTCTAGCATCCATCCTTCAGTTTTATTTCTGTATAGTTTCTATTTTAATGTCCTACAGACATTTCCAGACTTGACATATGGAACACTCCGTACACCAATATCTCAAATTCTGCTCCTGAGATTCCCAACCACATAACTACAGTAGTCCTGAGTCTCTCCCTGCTCCTTAATATATTCATGTGTTAGCCTTACTGATCCTTTACAAAGAGTTAGTTTGATTGTGTGACATCCTTTGGTGGCTCCTACTTGGATGACAGTTCAGGTTCCTTAGCAGGAATTCAAGGACCTCTGTGATCTGGTTCTTGCCTTCCTCCCTAGCCTGTCAGATGGCCCAGCACATTGAACTTTGTTTCTTAAAGCAGTGCTTCTCAACTTTTCCAATGCTGGGACACGTTAACACAGTTCATAAAATTATTTTGTTGCTACTTCATAAATATATTTTTGCTACCGATTTGAATCATAATACAAATATATGTAGGATGGTCTTAGGTGTCCCCTGTGAAAGGATCATTTGACCCCCAAAGGGTTAGGGTAGCAATGCACAGGTTAAGAACCACTGACTTAAAGTGATTGGAATATTCTTTCCTATAACTCCTCTGGCTAGATAGCTCTCTTAAGTTTTGCATAGCATTTTGTATATCTCCTGTTGAATGATGAACCTGTGACAAAATAGTTCTCTAATTTATATCTAAGTTCTTCACCATTTCCTCACCCCATAACATTTTTAAGCTTCATGGCGGCAAAGACTTTAATTTGGTGCATGGTAGGTACTTTTGAATGAATGTAAACTATGTTTTTATGTCTTATTCTTCATAATGTAGTTAATTATTAAGCCCTAATAATTCTTCGGGGGAAATCTCTTATGTTCATGACTTTCAGCTTTGTCATTGCCCTGTACATAATTATGTTAAAGGCCTTTTGTCTTAAGAATTTCTTCATCATTCTGAGTTCTTAAATCTGTCTCTCCTACACGTCACCCAGTTATGTTGAGCTTCCCAAAGCGTTTTGAAAATAAAATGTAATCTCTTCAAAAACTTTTAAAAGCAGTATGACCTAAAATATGACTCAGTACTCCCTAACTCTCTCCTAGTTATACCCTAGGAAACTTGCAAATGTATTTCAATAGATATGTGTAAAGTATGTGTAAACCTTTTAGCATTACTGTTTGTGAAAACAAAACATTGGGGACAATCGAAATGTCTACTTAAAAATGAAAGATACATTCAAATAATTGAATTACACTGCTGTGAAGTTAAGGTATTGTTGATTTTTAAGAAACAGTACGTTATAAACTTTGGGATCTTTGGTTTACAAGATTAATGTTTTTCTTCTACTTGAGATGAACAAACTAGGTTTGTTATGCCACCTGCTGGATAAAGTTAGTGTAGTCTTACAAATTTCTCTACTGAAGAGTCTGTTGTGTACACTTACTACCATTTCGTAAGATTAGTTTTATAGTAATACACTGCTTAAGCATACTGAAAGTAGCTATGCAGTCAACCTGAATTTGTAGCTACTTCATGAATGTTGAAATAGGTTGAATAAGTTTAGGGAAATAACCAAGTATTCTTACATAAGAAAGGGCATTATGAAAGGAATTTATATATTTTTTATTTTCCAAGTGACACATCTAAGATGCCATAATTTATTAATTTATATTGAGTATAAATTTTATTGCTGTATTATAAGTTGTGAAGAAGACATTATTTTAGTCATGTTAAGTAAGAAAATTGACTCAACTTAATAGATTATTTGTAATTACTTATGATATATATAAATTTGATAGGTTTCAAAGATTGTTTTAATCTCTTCTATAAAGTCCTTTGTACTATTGTTAAGTAATTAAAAATGGCACATAAATTCTTAGAACCACCAGGACCTTTTACATTCTTTTTGTGTCTTCAAATTAGTCCTTTACTTTTGTTGCTTTAATATATTTTATAGGTGCTGGAAAGACAACACTTCTGAACTATATTTTGACAGAACAACATAATAGAAAAATAGCAGTCATTTTAAATGAATTTGGAGAAGGTAAGTAAAGCTCGATAACTGTCACATTGCAACAACATTTGGGACCCTTTATTTCACTGCTTTATTGATAATTTAAGATTGGATGGTGTAATAATATGAGGCCACTATGAATGGTTTTGGAAAAACAGGATTAATTTTTATTAAGCTAGCCTGGAGTATGCAGTATAGTGGCCAAAGACAACAAGAGAGACCCTGCCTCCACCAGGTGAGAACCAGCTCCCAAAAGTTTGACCTCAGCAGCTTATCCGCATCAAACACCCTTATACACAAATAAATAAAATACAACTAAAGAGATTAATTGCTTGATTGTGGTGCAAAGTTTCTTGTATGCTAAGAAAGTTCTCTCTCTCTGAGTTATGCTTTCAGCCATTAAAAAAATTGGATTTCTAATAGTTCTTTTCTACTGCTTTTCTTCATTTTATAGTTTTCATGGTTTTGTCTTTTACAACTTTCTCAGTACTTTATTAATTATTATATAGTTTATTATTATATAATACTCTCTCATCACCCAATTAAAACATGAACAAAATACATAAATGAAATTTTTTCTATTTAAAACTTTTCCCTTGTATTGGTACATTGCATGTAAAACATCAAATACTTATCATCTCATGTATACTTATTTCCCAGGGAAAACTTACTAAGAGACTTTTTTATTTAAATAAAAGTTTAATTTTTAAATGGCCAGTGATACTTTGGTCAGGAACCTCTGTCAAATTGAAATAGTCTTAATGCATATTTAGAATCCTGAAAAATCTAAAACAGAAACCACCAATTTAGTGAGGAATTAAATGAAAACAGTCTCATAAGAGGTTGAAGAGCATAAAAAACCCCAGTGTTTTAAAAGTATCTCAGTATATTTAGAAAGTTGACAATGGATGAGAAGAAAACATGTTTTCAGGGTAGCTCCTTTATTAAGAAATGGAATTAGAGAAGTAAAAGACTTAAGGGGGGGGCAAGTATATGTTTATTAATTTTGAATTTGTCTTCCCAGCCCATGTTTTTTTGATGACAGTCATTTATTATTATTTTTTAATTTTAAAAAGGTTGAATACTTAGGGTCTGGAGAGATGTTTCAGTGGGAAAGAGCAATTGCTTATATTCCAGGGGAACAGAGTTCAATTCACAGCACCCATATGGTGACTTACAACTGTCTGTAACTCCAGTTTCAAGGCACTTGGTGCCCTCTCTGGACTCTGTGGGCATCAGGCATGAATGTAGTACATAGGCATACAAGCAGGCAAAACACAAATACACATAAAATTTTAAAAAAATTAAATTAAAAACAAAGAGATTGAATACTTGGAAATAAGACTAATGACACATTAAATTCAGAATACTCTTTTACATATAAAATAAGACACTGAAAATAATTTTTAAAAGTTCAATGAAAGAATAAGAACATTAGAACAAATATAAAATAGCAAAAAATACTTAAAGAAGATACAGTTGGGTTCCAAGGAACTTAAACTACATATTTAATATTTTATAAATATATTTTATGTATGTAGGTGTTTTGCTTGCATGTGTACTTATAAACTACATGAATGCCCGGTAACTTTGGAGGCCAGTTCATTTAAACTTTAAAAATTATTTTTATTTGTGCATGGATGTGGGATATGTGTGTGTGTGTGTGTATGCAGTTCCTTGGAGGCCAGAAATGGACCTTGAATCTCTTGGAGCTGGAGTTATGAGTTGTTGTCAGCAGTGTGGGTGATAGGAAGTGAACTCTGGTGCTTTGCAAGAACAGCAAATGCTTTTAATCACTAAACCATCTATCTGCTCAGTTCTTTTTTATTTACATTAGAAAGAAAAAAAGAAATCACCTAGCATACCATAATTTAAATATTTACCAAATTAAATATTTATACCGGGTTTAGTATTTGTTGTTCAAAAGAAGAGAGATTCTGACTTTCATCATAGAAGAGTCTTCAGTATACTTCTTGAGGCTTTTAAGCTGTGAATGGAATTTGAAGTTTTATTGATTGATTTAGAGTCACAAAAGAATAAATGGTTCTAAAGAATAAATAGTTTCTGCGTTGAAATCTACTCTGTTTCTGAACATTCTCCCTTGGTTTTGCTTGTGAACCTAATCTCAAAACCACTGTTTATATTTCTAGGAAGTGCAATAGAGAAATCCTTAGCTATCAGTCAAGGTGGAGAACTCTATGAAGAATGGCTGGAACTTAGAAACGGTTGTCTCTGCTGTTCAGTGAAGTAAGGAGTGGGTTTACTGTGTGCTTGTTGACTGACTTAAGTTGTTTGTTGATTATATTTCCAGCTTTGATTTTTTTTTGTGTGTAATTTAACTGAATTTAGTACATAGCTTCTACCGTTGCATTTTTGGATAATATATACATTTATTAGATTGTATTTTCTTTAAGTGTGTCTTGCAATTTTATATTTGTTCTGATGTTCTCATTCTTTCATGGAATTTTAAAAAAATTATTTTCAATGTCTTATTTCACATGTAACAAAAGAGTATTCTAATTTAATGTGTCATTAGTCTTATTTCCAAGTATTCAACCTTTTTTTTTAAATTTTTATTTTATGTATGCCTATGTACCACATTCATGCATGGTGCCCACAGAGTCCAGAGTGGGCACTGAGTGCCTTGAAACTAACTGTACAGACAGTTGTAAGCCACCATCTGGATGCTGTGAATTGAACTGTTTCCCTGGAAGATCAGCTCTTTCCCACTGAACCACCTCTCCAGCCCCAAAGTATTCAACCTTTTTCAAATAAAAAATAAGTGACTATCATAAAAGAGAATAATTATGGTCTGGGGAATGTCTCTGTAGGAAAAGTGCTTCCCAGGCAAGCTTGAGGACCTGAGTTTATAATGCTGGTACCAACATGAAAAGCCAGCCGTGACAGTGTGAGTTTGTAATCCCAGTGCTGAGTAGGCAAGGATTGGTAGATTTGTGGAGCTCTCTGGCCAGGCAGGGGTGAATAGCTGAATGGTAAGCTCCCGGTTCAACTGAGAGACCCTGCCAGGAGACAAGTAAGGTAGAAAGCCATTGAGATAGATACCCAACATTGGTATCTGGTTATCTGTCCTCTTTGTGGACACATGTGCATATACACATCACCACACATGCAGACACACATAAGAAAGAGGGAAGAACCAGCCAAGCCAGGTGACATAGGTTTGTAATCCTAGCTGCTTGAGAGACTGATGCAGGAGGACCCCAACATCAAGGCTTACCTTGGTTACCAAGTGAGTCAAAGCTAGCCTGAGCAACTTAGTGAGATCATTTATGAAAATAAAAAAGTAAATAGAGGACTAGGAATGTCGCTTAGTAGTAGCATTCTTGCTTAGTGTATGTGCGGCCCTGTGTTGAAATCCAAGTATAAAAACAGAAACAAACCCAGAAACACATAAAGAACCTTATGTCATCACTTAAGTTTCCATGGTCAATGTCTGTTTAGTTTACTGAGCTGCCATTGGTCCTAGAAGAGTACCTGACATAAAACACCAACTCAGATAAATTGTTTGATAAAATAAACTCTTGGATAAATTATAATTACTGTATGTACTATTGATTTTTCTATATTATAGTGAATTAAGTTTCTTTGTTATTGATGATCTTAGATGTCTGACACCAAATCAAACTTTTTGGAAAGAGGAAGTACTTATAAAGACTTTCTTAACCAAAAGACAACACATTGAATATTTGCCCTAACTTTGGTATTATAAGAATAAAAAAGTAGGTAATAAAAGCCTGTGATCTTAGCTTTGGGAGGTGGAAGCAGGAAGAGTGACATTTCCAGGCCAGGCTGAGTTGCGTAGTGAGATGCTGTCTTATTTGTTTTTAAAAAAGGAAATTATACTGAAGCCTAATCAGACTAGAGTTAAAAGGTGTGCAGTGACAATTTTCCTCTCTAGACAATAAATCCCATCATTATTTATATTATGCATAATTTTATATAACATATTAGATATAATCTATCATATATAATTTATATATAATATATATTATTTATAATGCTGTAAAATAAATAATGACTTTTGTTAGTTAACATCCTTTGCTATTAGTTTTGTAAAGTATTAACTTATTACATATACCATTTCTGCCTGTATTTGAACCTATTTTCTTGTCATTGTTAAATATTGGACATTTTATACAAGCTTAAGTTTGTACTTGAGAATATTTTTGTGTTGTGTTTTAGCTACATTTTAAAATGTTTTTAGAGATCATTTAAAAATGTTTAGGTAATCAGTAATTTCTATGCTTTTGGTATTTTGCAGGGACAATGGCCTTAGAGCTATAGAGAATCTGATGCAGAAGAAGGGAAAGTTTGATTACATACTCTTAGAGACTACTGGGCTAGCAGATCCTGGTAAGAAATGCATTATTAGTAACTAGCATATAGTTCTTTGATAAACTTAGAAACACATTTAAAGTAAATATTTTTTGCATATGTTTGTGTGGTGTATATCTATGTATGTGTGTGTGTTCAAATGTATGGGGGCTCACGTGTGTGCAGGTTCACACAGAGATATGATGTTGACATACCTTCTTCAGTCCCTTTCTACCATATGTATTGATGATGCAAGGTTTCTTAATGAACTGAGCTTGCCACTTTTGCTGCTCTGGCTAGCCAGCTTGCTCCAATGATTTTCTCTCTATCTTGTCTTTATTTACATGTCGTGATGGAATTGCAGGTAGGTGACCATGCCCACCCAGCTTTTATATGGGTTTTGGATCTAGTCTTGGTACTTGCACAGCAAGTTCTTTACCTATTGAGCCATTTCACCAGTCCTAAAGCTTTAATCTGGATTTAATTTTTGTTGTTTTTCAAAGGAAGAGAAATTCTAGCTTGCATCACATAAGGGTCATAGTGTACTTCTTGAAAAGCTGTTAATAGAATTTAACATTTTTCTCATTGATTTAGAGTTGTTGGTAGGAATAAGTTGTTATTTTTAAAGATTTATTTTTATGTGTATGTGTGGTGTACCATATGTATTAGGGTGCCTGAAGAAGCCAGTGGGTGTCAAATACCCTGGAGCTAAGGTTACAGGTGGTTGTGAGCTGTCTGACGTGAGTACTCTTGTGATTGGGTAGAGCATCATTGGTCATTAAGGATTAGGCTCCATGGAGCTGCAGAAATGGCTCAGCAGTTAAGAGTACTGAATGTTCTTCTAGAGGACCCAAGTTCAGTCTCAGAACTAACATGACAGCTCATAACTGTCAGGAACTCCAGTTTTAAAGTATTCAATGTCCTCTTTTGGTCTCTCTGCGCCCCAAGCATGTATGTGGTACAGATACAAATATGCATGTATCATCATCATCATAAATAACTAGACCCCAAATGCTGGCATAATACATCAAAAGTCACTGGGATCAGGTCCCAAATAGTTGTGGTCTGGTAAAAATATAGAAACTTGGTTTTATTTTTAGGCATTTTTTTCCCTGAACCTTATTTAAGGACATTTTAATTTCAAATTATTCAGTTCTAATATTAATGAGATCATTTTTTCATTTTTCAAAATGAATTTTATTTTGTTATTTAATTAGTCTAATTTTCTTTTAAATTTATATTGTTTATATATTTGTATTTACAAGGGAAAGGGGCTAGAGGGGATGAGGGACAAAAGGGAGATGGAAAATGAATGAATATGAATAAATGAGAACAAATATGATTTTATGCTCTGTTACAAGTTTGGATTAACAACCTATGAGTTGGCTTTCTTTCTTCACTTTGCTGGCTGGTTCACTCTTTATCATGTGGGTTCTGGGACTTGAACTCAAGGTATCAAGTTTGGCAATGTACACCTTTGCCTGCAGATCCATCTTACTTTTAATTTTCTTTTTCTTTTCTTTTCTTTCTTTCTTTTTTTTTTTTTTTTTTTTTTACTGTATTTTAGTATCTTGCACATGCTAAATATGAGCTCTACTACTAAGCTATGCCCTTAGCCCTGTTTTAATTGTTCTGATTTATTTTTTACTCTGATAGGTTTTTACTCTGAAGGTTTTCCCTTATGTCAGTAATTCCCCTCATACTTTTTTTTTAATGTTCCTTATAATTGTAAATTCATTTATTGGTTAAGTAATGATGCTATTAAATTGATACCAAATTTATTTTATTAGTGCTACAAAGCCTCTTTTTATATTTTATTATTTTCTTGTGTTCAAGCTTGTTTTTGTGTTGTATTACTTTTGAGTTTTTTTGCTGTGAAAAGCTACCTCAAATTTTTATTTGTTTTTTTTTTTTTGATTATATTTCCTTGCAGAATGAATCCTTTGCCATTTATCTGTTCTATTAAATTTCTCCATTCTTTTTTCCTTTCTACATTTATCTGTACTTGTTTTCTTCCGCTGTAATCATGTGTGTGCATTTGTGCCTGGGGTAGGAAGGTCAGAGGACTTTCCTTTACCTGTGTGCATTGATGAGAAATTCCTTTAAATATCTTCACTGTCTTACCCAAGCATGTTTTTCTTGAGCACTAGTTTAAAAGCTGAATATTACTAGGATACATGAAGAGGGAAGCTAATAGAAATGGGTGACCAGACAGACAGATAAAATGGCTATTAGCTTCTGCCTTCAAATACGTCTATCTTGGGTGTTACCCATTCATCTAGAGGTACATAGTCAATCCTTGGCTGCTGTGGGACATTATTAGACCTCAGAACTCTTGTTTCTTTTGCTTTTAATCCTACAAAGCAAATTCCCCCAAACAGAAGTGATTAAAATATTTTTATTCTTAAAATATTTTTTGTCATTGACTTTTTCCTTTCATTGCTTTCCAGTTTGTTCTATGTCTTGCCTTTTGGGGAGTTGTTTCTGATAAAAGTAGTAGGATTTTGAAAACTGTTCTTCCACATCCTCTTTAGAGGGTGGAAATTGAATTAGGAAAAGACCATAGTAACTCACTGTCTTAGTCAGTATTCTATTGTTGTGAAGAGAAACTATGACCACAGCAACTCTCATAAAGGAAAGCATTAGCTGGAGCTTGTTTACAGTTTCAGAGGTTTAGTCCAGTATTCCCATGGCAGGGAACATGGCAGTACACAGGCAGACATGGTAGCTGAGAGTTCTACATCCAGATCTGAAGGTAGCAGGGAGAGACACAGGACCTAGCTCAAGCTTTTGAAACCCCAAAGTTCACCCACAGTGACACTTCTATCAAGGCCACACCTACTCCAATAAGCTACACCTCCTGATCCCTGTCAAGTAATGCTACTTCCTAATGATCAAACATTCAAATATATAAGGGGGCTGGAGAGATGGTTCATTGGTTAGGAGCAGTGGCTGCTCTTCCAGAGGACCTGGGTTTAATTTTCAGCACCCACGTGACAGCTCACAACTATCTGTAACTCCTGTTTCAGGGGATCTGTCACCCGCATACAGACATATGAACAGTCAAAACACCAATGTACATAAAAGTAAATTATAAAAAACACGAGTCTTTGGGAGCCATATTTATTCAAACTACCATAATCCCATAGAATTTTATTTCTATTTTGACTGTTACTACTAAATTTATGGTTAGGAAACTGATCTTTTCTTATTATTTGGTTGTTCTGATAAAATTGTGACATGCAAATTGTTTAAAGTGTTTTTAAGTGGGTTTTGAAGAAGAGAAATTCTGTAATATAGTTCAGAACTTCTCAGCCTTGACACAAATAACATTTTGGATTGGCCAGTTATCTTCTGTGAGGGGTGCTATCTTGAATGTTATAGAGTGTTTAACAGCATCCCTAGCTTTTATCTACTAGATGCCAGCAGAATATTCCTAGAAGCAACTAAAATTATCTTCAGATATTGCCTAATATTCCTTAAGGAGAAAAATCTCCTTCTCTATTGCCTCATCTTTGCTACTTCTAAGCACCTACATCTGTAGTTCAGATAGTTCTTTCTTGTGCATCCTGTAAGGATTATATCTCATGTCAACGATGTTTAGAATAAAAACTAATATACATTTACAATTCATTCTGGTAAGAAGTAAGACTTAAAAACCATTTATTTGAATAAAAAGCAGTGAATTTTTAAAGTTATAAAACTATGATGTTAACATACATACGTATTTGGCTAAGAGAAGAAATTAAAATATGTATAGGTGTTTGATTCATGATGTAGTAAACTTACTTCTCCTTTATTAATTAAAACCATGTTTTTAGCCAAGGAAGTGGAAATAATTCTTATTGGCAATTCAGTTGTTTCTCACTTAGGAGATTGACACTCTCCAGTTCTTAGCTAAATAATTGTCATGGTAAAGTAATTTCCTTGAAGAGAACAGACATTGATTCTGCTCCTGTTACTCACAAATCCTATTTCACTCAAATTGGAAAACTATTAAGTTTTTGGGAAAAAAATCAATAGGTATCAGGAAACCATTAGATGTTGTGGCCCTTGCTATATCTTGCATGAGTAATCACTGTAAACAGCTGACAGGTGTTTCACTGTTGACACAGAGTGATGCTTAGGGGAACCACATCTTGTCAGAGTAGCTAGACAGCTTTAGACAGTGGAATGAGTTCAGTTATCCTTGTTTGCCCCTACGCTCATTCTTTTAGACAGCACCATCACTAACTGGGATGGTAATGCTTTGAAAAATCAAATACTTTCCCTTGTTGTCAGTTTCTTTTCTTTCTTTTCTTCTTTTTTTTTTTCTTTTTTTTTTTTGTATTGCAGCACATTAGTCAGGATGTGTGGTTTTGTGTTAAACCAGTTTTTGCCAACAACAAATTTTAATTTCTTTCTTAAAAATAATTTTTCTTCAGATGCAAATTTTATGCCCAATACTAAGTAAATATATGATTAATGAGTACTACCAGAGAACTTGTAAATTTTCTTGTTCTTTTTCTTCTATAATGATTGCAAATGAATTTATTGTGATTTTTGAAAAATGACTTTTGCAAGTCATTTTTGGAATTAATGTATTTATTTGCTTTTACTTGGGAGGGATTTATTATTTGTGAGCTGTGTGATAATCATAGTCAGGAAATGAGAAAAAAGTATCCTGTGTATTCTCAGCTAATATTTCCAAATTGTTTCACAGTATTGATTGATAAATTATTTTGGCATCAGTAAGAGCATTATCTTTGATGAGTGTTAAGAACTAGGGAGAGGAATAGGATGACTGCAGACCTTGAAAAGTACTGTCACTGTAGTAGTTCCCATGAAAAGACTGAAGTATAGGTATAGTTTGTGGTTAGCCGCTAATTCCACTGGTGAAAATTAAGACAGATGAAATCATGTTTTGCAATTTGAAGAAATACTTTCTTTATTTGATTAATAGTATTATACTATGTATTTTCAGGTGCAGTGGCTTCTATGTTTTGGGTTGATGCTGAATTAGGGAGTGATATTTATCTTGATGGTAAGTTAAAGTATTTTTTAAAGTAAGATTTACAGCTGAGCTCATTTTGTTTATATTGCAGTTTTGATTCCTACACCATTGTTCTATTCAAACTTGTTTAGTTTTTGATGCAACACAATTTTGTTCATTGGGATTCTAAAGTCCTAGACAGTGATAAAACTGGATTGTCAAGTATTGATGTCAACTCTGGTTCAGGACTTCAACTGAGGCTTTTATTTCAAAATGCCCTGTAGATTGCCTGTGTCCTCTCTTGCCATGTACACTTAATATAATGTTAGAGCTTTATAGTTGGTCAGGAAGACAATGGAAAGAATGATCTTTCATTCTCTGATTCTGTTTTTTCCCTGAAAATAAGAATTAAGAGTGCTTGTACACATACATACACTACGTAACGCTTGTCATTCTGTATAAATTTATAAGCTTGATATTAATTTCTTAGTGCAACAACTATATTCACTTTCTCCTGTTGTCTCTCCTTTCTTCTCTTTACATTTCTTTAAATTAATCATGTAGACTATAGGGTAAGAATCATTGAAGCTGGGGTTCATTGAGCAGTAATATACACAGCTGTAGCTTGTTGAATTTTATGGACATTATCACACTCTGCTGTTATATTTTTAAAAACTATTTGATATATATTCAGAAATTGCTGAACTAATTGATCTTTTGAGAACTTAGGTATTTTCTATGATGCTCTGTTTTTGTGAGCTAGGAGTACCAGTGAAGGTTAGGACTATAATAGCCTAAGATGTCTCAGATTCTTTAAACAATTTATTTAGAAAAGCTTCATTTTTTACTGTAAAAATAAAAATAACATGTCTTGTATAATTTGTCTTATTTTACTATATATTATGAAATGTGTCTTAGTATGGATTTTAAACACCATAGAAGTTTTATTGTATTGTTGACTTAATTTTTAAATTTTATTTTATAAATTGTCTATAGTTTCTTAGGAACAGGTGGTCATTCAGTATATATTTTAAACATTTGCTTATTCCTGAGATTGAGTTAAATTGCCACACTGGTAAGAGGAAAAAAATACTTTATTGAGTAACATTTGTGAACTGAAGGATGTTTTAATTTTCCTTCTCAAGTGTAGTTGCCTAATACGGATGACGTTAAAGAGTGACTAACATGTTCATTTCTTTGTAGGTATCATAACTGTTGTAGATTCAAAATATGGATTTAAAGTAAGTTGAGCAAATAGAAGTTGGTAATTGTCAACGAGTAGGAATGGAGTGGGGGTGGTTCTATTTTCTGTTTCTGTTAAGCTTTTCTTAAAAATATTTTTCAAAATAATAGTGCAAGTGAAAGATCTATTTTGTTTGTTTGTGTTTTTATTATGTGCTTTTAAACAGTATTTATTTTAGTCTGGTTTGGTGTGACAAAAATTGGAGTTGCTATAATATTTTATATTAAGGTTATAGAGTCAGGATAAAGTTTGGATATATAGTTCTTCTCACTAAAATTTGTTCCTACTATTGGCTTTTATAGAAAAAAACAGCCTAATATATGAGATGGTAGTTTTTGTTATAAACTGTTAGGAGATACAAACTATAAATTAGATTCTTTTTTCAACAAAATACTAATTTATTTAATTTTGAAGAAGTAAAAATTAGTGTATAATAAGAGGAAACTCCATTAAACGATGTTCTTCTGTGTATACTTTTGCTAATTTCCAAGGTCTTTAAGTATAATTATTTGGTCTCTATTTATAAAATGTACTAAGATATTAAAAGTGTATTGCTACATAAAATAAAATAGTGCATCCCAGTTTTTTCTTTTTATTAATTACAGTTTATCCACTTTGTATCCCCCTGTAGCTCCTTCCTTCCCAATCCCACCCTCCCTCCCCCTTCTCCACCCAGAGAATTTTTTTTTAAGAAACAAATGTTCAAAAGGCATTGGAGAATAAGCTTGCCTCTGTCCTAGCATCAGCCTTTCACCCCACTACCTATCGGGGCAAATGGATTGGGAACAAAGTAGTAATTTCATGGAGCCTGCATATGGTGGCAAACACCTTTTGTCTCCAAAGTTGGGAGGTAGACAAATGGATGTCAGTGAGTAGGACAACTTGATCTACATAGTGAATTCCAGGCCAGGCATTGCTATATTGTGAGAACCTGTCTCAGAAAACAAACACAATTTCTTGGGAATTTAGAATCAGTGTTTAAAAATTAATTTAATATTTTACTCCTTGATGTATCTAAACTTAATTTTTATGTTGGTCTTTCTTTCAAAATGTCAATAAAATTATGTTTTAGGGAAACTTAGCAGGTCTGTCCAAATGGCTATCAGTCGACTTTCCTGGCCCTTCCTACCTCCACTGTCAGTACCCTGATTTGAGAATTTTGAGTCTTGTTCTAGACTTTACAATTTAAATTTATGAACAGAATAGGAATAAAAAATGATTGGAAATATTACAGTTTTATTCAGAAAAATTCTAATGGCTCTGTGTGTGTGTGTGTGTGTGTGTGTGTGTGTGTGTGGTGTGAGTGAA